TTGAGGACTTCCAGTATATTTGCAAGCCTGTAAAAGTACTAGAAGGGTGTTTTCTTGGATCGAGCAATGTTTCTTGCGCTTGAGCGGTCTTGGCTCGAACAATCTTTCTTGTGCTCTAGCGATTAGCCTTTGTTTGCAAAGCTTCTAGGAGGTGGTGTTCTTTACTCAAGCGGTCTCACTTGTTGTGTCTGGCCGCTCGATTTGTGTTTTGGTCGCTCGAGCAGTCTGTGCGTATATCAGTTCCGAAAAGTCACTTTTTGATCACATTTTCATCCCTCTCTCTCTAAACATTTCAAAACCCTAAATCTAGACATACTCTCTCTAAAACTCATCTTCAACCCTTAAATACACTATCATCCATTAATCTCTACACCCTAGTCCCTTCAATAAAAATGTAGAGCTCACCTAGAGCTTTCATTTGATCGGAGCAAAGTCCATTTTCAACTCCATTGAAGTTTCAACCTTGCTCTTGCTTGTCGTCTAACTTTAGATAGGGATCTCTCCACACTTTTGCATATATTTTAATTTGGTTATTTTCTTTTCTAAACAAGATTGTGATTTTGAGATTTTCGATAAAACTTAGGGTTTTCGTTTTGAAATTAAAAGAGAGGTTTTCAAAATATGTTCTTGGAAATGATTGTGGGTTTGTAAATGTGGTTGAGTTGTAATGAAATGATGGATTTTATCCTTGGAATTGATTTATAATGAAAAGTGGATTTTGCCCTAAATGTGGATACTTGATTTTATAAAGAGGAAATGGACATGATGTTGAGTTTTATCGAATTAGGATGATAATAATGATGATGGTGGAGTTGGATATACATTATCACTCCCATATTGAAATTTTGAAAAGTTTATCTTTATTGGAAATTATCTATCTGTTTAGGGATATCTGTTTTGGGCTATCGGTGGAGGATAACTATGATTGTTGTAGAAATTGCATGAGAATTAGTAGAATTGAAACTAATTTCTCATCCATTTACATTAAGCATCGTGCATACTTAACACATTGAAAATGTATATTGTTTTGAAAAAAATGGTGAATACCTTGGTGAATTTGGGTAAGGGGTGTGGTTGTGGTATTATTGTTGGCTTGTGTGTCCTTAGTGAAAGTCCAAAAACCTACGCAATTAGGTGTTGAGCCTTCCGATCAGTACCAGTAAAAATGAAAATTGGTAATATTTGTATAGCCTACTTGCAGACACATACCTAGAGATTCCCAATGTTGTATCCACTGCCTTGTTTTTCGTTGTAAAGGAAATGTTTTCATGAGTTGTGATATAAAACTGACATTGCATGGTTTTGGAAAGCAATTCAAAATGTTTTGGCATGAGCATCGCACATGCATTCACCTTGTAACTTTGTTAAGATTCATACATTGCGTTAGACCAAAACCAATTCAAAATGTTTTGGCATGAGCATCGCACATGCATTCACCTTGTAACTTTGTTAAGATTCATACATTGTGTTAGAGTATCTCTACTAGGCTTTGGCTCACTCTATGTGGAAAATTATTTTCAGATGCTGATAATATGCCTTTGCCAAGGCCATAGCTTGCGAGGACTTGTAGCCAAGTGCTTTTTTTTTGTTATTGTTGTAATTGTTTTGTACAAGCATAAGGCTTTACTTTCTATTGAGTTTTCAAACTCACTTTTGTTATAACCAGGCATCGTCTTGAAAAGTTGTAGCCAATAGAGCATTACTTTATTGGTTTAATTTTTATTTTGTATTGCTTACTTGTGGCACATGCTGTAGATTCAAGGTTAAGGCTTATGAATGTATAACTGCATGTGTTACTTTTTGTACAATGGGATCATATGAATGAAAGATAATTATTTCGACATATGTTGTTATTGAATTAATATTGTGAGATGAATTATGGTTATTATTTTCGGGGCATTACACACACACACACACACACACACACACACACACACACAGAATTTGAAGTGAGAGAAAGATGGAGGCTTTGTGTTATTTGTACCGTGTATACCATATATATATATACATAAGTATTTTGGTCATTTCACTTAAGCATGTTCTTATGGGCAAAGTATTTCAGTACCTGGACCTTTGGCCAAACAAAATCTAAATTTGGATTTAGAGGCTAAGCGCCCAATAAATAAACACCACAAGTATCAATCTCATTTGGGTGGTTCTATTTCCACCAAAGTAGAAACTCGGTACGTCTTACTAAAACAAAAAGAGAATGGAAATACAGTAAAGAAAGAGTATGAGGTGTGTTCAGAGATCTTGATCGATGTGAGATTTGAGATCATCAGAGATCTAACAGTGAGATTTGAGATACACAACGGCGCTGTTACTTCAACCGTGACTGGAAGGGATGGCACCGATAACTGCGATGGAGTTACGAAGGGAAAATGTGTCGTTGCAGAGGTGGCTGACATCTCAGGCAGCGCGGGGTGGCTGAGCTCTAGTTCGATGACGATGAGTTTGAGAGAAAATGAGAAAAGAGAAAGGGATAAGGAGAGAGAGAGAAAGAGAGAATTTAAAATGAAAGAAAAAGAGAGACTTTGTGTTATTTGTACCATGTATACCATATATATACATGGGCATTTAAAATAAAAGAAAAATAGAGACTTTGTGTTATTTGTACCGTATATACCATATATATACATGGGTATTTTGGTCATTTCACTTAAGCATGTTCTTATAAGCAAAGTATTTCAGTGCCTGGACCTTTGGCCAAACAAAATTTAAATTTGGATTTATTGGCCGAGCGCCCAATAAATAAACATCACAATTATCAAACTCCTCTGGGTGATTCTATTTCCACCCAAATGGTAACTTAGTACGCCTTACTAAAATTTTGAAATTTTAGTTCCAATTATACCTAATGTAAATTTACTAATAAGGACAATGAACATTAAACCCTAAAATAAAATAAAAAAATATTTTTTCACGGTATATACCCTAATCACTTATACTTATTCTGTATATTTATGTCTTTTCATTTTTTGCCCCAAGTTTCAATTGTTATTTCTTCATCTTCTTCTTCACTACAAAGCTCCAATCCACCCACCAAAACTCATTATTTTAACGTCCCAAAATAATAACCCAACTCATAGTGTTGAAACACTTGCAGGTCGTATTTGAGTTGCTTAAAGCACACAGTCTTTATGTTAAGTTCGGAAAGTGCGAGTTTTGGTTAAAAGAAGTTAAGTTCCTACGCCATGTGGTATCCGGGGAAGGAGTGGCTATAGACTCTTCTAAGATAGATGCAGTGCAAGATTGGGAATAACCTAAGAATGCCTTTGAGATCTAGAGTTTCTTGGGCTTAGTCGGGTATTACCGACGTTTTGTGAAAGACTTCTCTAGATTGGCCTTACCATTGACTAGATTGATAAGGATGGGGGTGAAATTTGTGTGGAGTGAGACTTATGAAAAGTTGTTCCAAGAGCTTATGGTTAGACTCACCACTACTCCAGTGTTGATTATTCTGGAGAAAGGTTTGGGCTATTCAGTTTATTGTGATGCGTCTCGAGAAAGGTTAGGTGGTGTGTTGATGCAAGAAGGGAATGTGGTAGCCTATAGTTCGCGACAGTTGAAAACTCATGAGAGAAATTATCCTACTCACGACCTAGAGCTTGCAGCAGTGATTTGTTTTCCTTAAAAATCTAGAGGCATTACTTATATGGTGAGAGGTTCAAGGTGTTCTCCAATCACAAGAGTTTGAAGTATCTATTTTCACAGAAAAATTTGAATTTGAGACAAAAGAGATGGATAGAGTTTATGGAAGATTATGATTTTGAGTTGCACTATCACTCGGGAAAGGCCAATGTAGTGGTCGACGCTTTGAGTAGGAAGACAGTAAACAGCGTAGCTAGTATTGCCATTCGGGAATGGGATATGTTGGGTGCTATTGGCAAGTTCAACTTGCATCTTAGTGAGTCCGTTAAGTTGACCGTTTTGTTTACTATAGTTGCACGACCTATGCTTATGAGCTGAGTTATAAAAGCACAAAGGGGTGATCTCGAGGTAGAGACTATCTGAGGGAAGATATCCAATGGGAAGGTAGAAAATGGCTTGAACGTGTATTCTGACTCTAGTGTAAGGTATTTGGACCGTCTTTTCGTGCCAAAATTTTGTAGAGAGGAGGTACTCTGAGAGTTTTACCATTCACGCCTTGCGGTACACCCGGGAGGCATGAAGATGTACGATGACTTTAGCCACCAGTTTTTGTGGAGGGGGATGAAGAGAGACGTAGCCTTGTTTGTTTCGAGGTGTCTTACTTGTCAACTAGTGAAGGCCAAACATCAACGACCAGCGTGTTTGTTGCAACCCTTACCTATAGCCAAGTGGAAGTGGGAGCATATCACGATGGACTTTGATGTGGGTCTTCCGAGGACTCAAGGGGGTAATGATGCCGTGTGGGTGATAATCGACCGGTTAACCAAGCTAATACACTTTGTACCTATATGCACAAGTGACTCAGTAGATTATCTTGCGGACCTTTATGTTAAGGACATAGTTTGACTTCATGGGGTCCTTGTGACTATTATTTTAGATAGAGATCCACGATTTACAGCTCGGCTGCGGTAGAGTCTACAGAGTGCCTTAGGCACTAGATTGACGTTTAGCACCACCTATCATCCTCAGACTGACGGGCAGTCAAAGCGGACCATTCAGATCTTAGAGGACATGCTTCGGAGTTGTGTTCTTGATTTTAAGGGGTCATGGAAGAGGCATTTACCTTTAGTAGAGTTTTCCTATAATAACAGCTTTCAGGCGAGTATTAGTATGGCACCGTTTGAGGCTTTGTATCGCCAACCGTGTAGATCTCCAGTGTGTTGGGTTGAGGTGGGTGACGCACCTATGTTAGGCCCTAAATTAGTCCAGGAAACGACTGAGAAGGTTGCACTTATCCATAATAGGTTGGCTTTGGCTCAGAGTTCCCAAAAGAGCTATTCGACCGTAGGAGGAGGTCTTTTGAGATAGAAGACCAAGTGTTCTTAAAGATATCACTGAAACAAAGTTTAATGAGATTTGGGAAAAGCGGGAAGTTGTCTCCTAGAGTTATTGGGCCTTTCGAGATTCTAGAGCGGATCGGGGAGGTAGCTTATTGTTTGGCCTTGCCACCCCAACTGTCTGGGGTTCATGACATGTTCCATATTTGTTTGCTCTGGAAGTGCGAGCCGGATCCTTCACATGTGTTAGATTGGACTGAGTTAGAGGTAGATGAGGACGCCTTGTATGTGGAGAGACCAGTGCAAGTTGTAGACTCTTGGGACCAAGTTTTACGAGGCAAGACTATTCCATTGGTTAACGGGGTTGAAAAAGTGACTTGGGAGCGTGAGGCAGAAGTCTATGAGAAGTATCCAAACTTATTTGTTGATATTTAAGACTTGTGTTAAAACTTTTACATATGTTGTAATATATATATTGAACATTGTATATGTTTCAGAGATTTGAATGGCAATTATTAATGTTGAAACACTCGGTGTATCCTTGTTACAAGTCTGAATGGCATATGGTTGATTTTATTTCTATGAATGTTGTTGATTTTAAATTTCGGGGATGAAATTCCTTAAGGAGGGGGAGGGGAGAGATTATAACCATTTTGGTTTAGACCTGACCTATTTGTTGTTTTTAGATCTGAGAACCCATGTAATTAGCTGTTGTCCATCTCATTTCCATCTTGTTGCATGTTGAGTTTATTTATGGGAGTTTTGGTCGTGCATGAAACAGGTTAGGAGGTTAGTTTTTCAAAGAGTTGTTGCCCAGAAATTTGGCTTGTTCGCTCAAGCGGCCATTCCTACACTTGAGCAATCTTTTACAGTCTACAAAACTACTAAGAGTTTGATATCTTCACTCGAGAGGTCTTTTTTGAGCTCGAGTGATCTTTTTCAAGTCTAAACTACTGAGAGAGGGTCATTGTGCGCTTGAGCGATGGTTTTGGTCGCTCGAGCGGTGTCACTTATTGTGTCTGTTGCTCGAACGACCATTTTTGCGCTTGAGCGGTCTGTGTATATATCTCCGAGAGGAAGCTGTTCTCAGTCACTTCTTCATCTCTTTCTCTCTCTAAACATTTCAAAACCCTAGATCTACACACACACACTCTCTCTAGTTCTCATTTCCAGCCCCAAATACTCTCAATCCGTCGGTTTTCTCACCCTAGTCCTTTGGAGTACAAGATTGAGCACGTTGAGGGCTTTGTTCTAATTGGTGAAGTTTGTGTTTTCGACTCCATCAAGCTCTACCCGTCATTTTTTTGTGTTTTCTACTTTAAGGTAGGGATTCCTTGACTCTTTTATGATTTTTAGCTTAATTATTTGTTCTTTGAAAAGGATATTGATTTAGGAAATTTTGGAAAAAAACCTAAGGTTTGGATTTAAAATCAAAAGAGGGGTTTTCTAACTGGATTCTTGAAAATGGTTGTGGGGATGTATTTATGGGTGAGATATGTTAAATGGTAGATATTTCTTATTGAAATTCATTTTGTAAAACTAAAGGGGTTTTGCCCTAGATTTTGGATATTTGGAATTTTGAAGGGAAATGAAAATGATGTTAGGTATTGTGAAATTGGAACAATGATTATGTTGATAATGATGGAGGAGTTGGATATGTACTATCACTCCCATTATAATTGATGAAATTATATTTTTTGATTAGAAATTATCTTTTGAATATAAATAACTATTTTGGATTATCGGTGGATGTTAGTCTTGATTGTTGTGGATATTGCATAAGAATTAGGTTGAATTGAAATTAATTTCTCATACATTGTTCATTAAGTATCATTTCATGTTAAACATAGTAAATGTATTGGTTTTTGAGAAAAATGGGTGAATACCGTGGTGAATCTGGTTAGGAGGTGTGGTTATGGTTTTATTATGTTAGCCTGTGTGTCCTTGGTGAAAGTCCAGAAGCTCGCACGGTCAGGTGCCGATCCTTCCAGTTAGTATCGGTAAAATGGCTTCGGTAGTGCTTGTATAGCCTACTGGCAAACACGTACCTAGAGATTCCCAGTGCTTTGTATCTACTGCCCTGTTTTCTCTATAAAATGGTTATTTTCATGAATTGATTTATAATCTGGCATTGCATTGTTTTGAGATGGAAAATGAGGAATTGTTTGACAAATGGCATGCATATGCATTCACCTTATAACTTTGCCAAGATTCATATGTTGTGTTGGAGTATCTCTAATGGGTTGTGGCTCACCCTATGTAGAAAACAACTTTCAAGTGCAGATGATATGCCTCCGCCAAGGATGTAGCTTGGGAGGACTTGGAGCTATAGACTTCATTTTTGTTTAGTGATGTAATTATTTTTGTTTAAGCCTCAGGCTTTACTTGTATTGAGTTTAAACTCATTTTGTTGTACCCAAGCATTGTATTGGAAATTTTTAGCCATTAGGGCATTTCATTACTTGGTTCTACTTACCTTTTTACTCTTGTATTCATGCCATATGCTATAGATTAAGGATCTAGGATTTGTGAATATATATTACATATGTCACCTTTTGTAATGATCAAAGATATAATGAAAGAGTATATAAAATGTTGTTGATCAATCGCATGTGATGAATATGATCTGGATTGTGTTATTTATTCGGGGTGTTACAGGCTTGGGATATACCGTATATTGTGATGCATCTAGGGAAGATCTGGGTCGTGTTTTGATGCAGGGGGTCAAGGTAACTGTAACGCCCTGGGAAAAGACCTCCCAAAACCTGTTCACTTGAACATTCTCACCGTACGTTACACATCATATAGATAGAGACAATAATACTGAAATAACATTCATTACATTTCATTGCCTTTTAAACTATTCCCTAAGATTTACAATACCGTCTCATTACATCCATAAACAAAACAAAATAGTTCAAAAGTAAGAAAATATACAACAAGACAAGTCGCAAGTTGACTTCCTTAAAAAATGTGTTCCTTGTTACACTAGCATAAAATCGACATCCAATTACAATACAGCCGTAGTCTAGAACACAAAAAGATTCCAACAAAAGTTTTCACGCACAAAAGGGTTTTCTTCTTCTCGAGAAATCACATTGGAGATGCATAGTCCTCATTCCTGAAATTGGTTAGCTTTAGGGTGAGCAAAAGCTCAATAGATAATGAATTTAACAAGTTATATAATTAATTGAAAAACGCATGATCATGCAATGCAAACATTTGAGATATATAAAAGAAAATGTAAATAGGTGTCTATGTATGTGTAGCTCGACTTTTTCGCACCCCCTTTCGGAAGTTCAAAGATAAGCCCTACAGTTCGGACTCCCGCAGTTCTGAATCTGATTCCACAAGTGAAATGCGAAATAGATAATCACCAAAGAGTCCAAATCCGGCAAATAAATCGATTTTGAATCAAATTGTAAAAAATGGATTGCTTTGCCAAATACAGAGTCACCACCTAAATATTTTATTTTGAAAAAATTTAGGAAACCCATGACTCATGCCAAAGGCCACGTATCCGTCATCACCAAAGTTGCCTCGGCTCGGGAACTTAGGTACGAGAGGGGAAAGTCATGAATTAAGCACCCCCGCTCACCCGATCAAAGATCGGCCTCTACTAATCATGATATGATTTTTATCAACATTATATTCTCTTTTTTCCTATATATTAGGCTAGCATTTACTATGTGATGCGCATACAAGATACAGACTAGTTTTCCCGAATTGGAACAATTCAATTTCATGTTTGTTTTTCGAAAAGGGTTTGAATTTGCCACTAAACAAAGTGGGCTTAAAGTTTGTGAATTTGCCACTTGACAAAGTGGGCTTAAACGTACATTCATTAAATCATGCCAATTCAAGCAATAAGCCTTCATCCACAGGCACTCAAACATTTTAACAAGTAAACACTTAGCTTCATGGCAAGCATGCTAGTCATGGCAATCACTCACACTCATGCAAGTATGCTAAAGCACTAAAAACTCACCTAGTACTCCAAGCTAAGATAAAACAAAAGAGTTAGAAAAAAATATGCATGATTCCTAACTATGCAAGATAGCTAATGCAACGCATGCAATAATGCAACTAAAATAGGCTCAGCTACTTAACATGTTATTTGCAACAATTTGGTAACATGCAGTTTAAACAGGTATTTAACGAGGTAATAAATGACAATGCAAGTAGAATGATGAACCGAGCCTCAATGTATGCAAGACATATGAATGAATGCAAACATGTGATATGCTAATTGAAACGTGATGCCCCTAATCTAACCATCAAAAGCGGATAAATAAAAATGAGAAAGACGTGGAGTTAAAAGACATACACATTATTACAACATTGAAGCTCTCGCTTAGGAGGGTCCGAATGAATAAACTAGCTAAGCTAAACTACTTAACTAATTATTATAAAACTTGAATTAATTAAATTAAATTAACTAACTATTCTGAGCTAATTAATTAATAATTTAATTAGACTAAGCTAATTAAACATTTAAAACACAAACTAATTTAATTAATCAATCTAAACTAATTAAATAAGTACAAAACAAACTAATTAGCTACAATTGAGGGGTTGCCGTCCAACACTAATGGTCTGTCGGCCAGAAACATTGGTCAGCCGGCCACTGATGATGCACTATTCCGTGCTGCAACAGAGAGAAAACAGGGCAAAGAGAGGGTATTCTCACAGGTTGTTTGTACAGTGTATCCCTCCTTATCATCAAAATATCTCAAAGGAGTGATACACTTGGTCCTTAAACCATCAATCACGCAATTTCATTGCATGATGGCTAAGGAACCAAGATGTACAAGTTTAATAAATGCACAAACAAGACCAAAAACCATCACCCTATCATGCATGATCAAGGGCAATGGTGACCTACAAAAAATTGGCACATTTCATCACTTTGAGTATGAAATGCCCTAATTTTCCTTGTGTTCGATTAAAGTCCGATTGAACACATCAAAACACAACCAAATCCTTGCACAATTTTAGTTTCCATTTTTATTTACCTATTTTAGATTACCAATCATTCTTTAACTAATTAAGTCCCTTGGTGAGTAAATCCTCTAAAAGAGAAGGAAGTGTCAAACAAGGGGTAGTTTAAGGCAAGAGAGAAATGTCATGCCGTTGACAATGAACCCTCAAAAGAGGATTAAACCATTAGGTATGGACCTCAACCTCAAGCTTAAATAACCCTAAGGTTGAAACAACCCTCAAAGAAAACAAAGAGTGAAGAAATGAAGGAGGTTGTAGAGATTATGTTTGCTGAAATTAAGTGAGAAAAGCATTAAAACAATGCAATCAACTCAAGCAAGTGGTGTCTAAAGGCCTAAAATACCAAGCTTGTGAGGACACTTACACTAGAAGCATGCAAAACAAGACTCAAATGCAACAACTAGCAAAAAACAGAGTTAAAATAGTCCAAAATG